CCCCCCTCGCTCCGTCGCTTGAAATCATCAGTTCTGGTGCAAGTTATGAATAGGAGGCCGTAGATTGCACGTGCAGTGCGCGCATAGTGGGTCAGCCGACTACTGAGGGCATCGCACACACGCTCGCACGGCAAGGGCACGGCGCACTGGGCCAGGCGACGGCAACGGGGTGGTTGAGCCAGAGTCACTGAAACTGTGGCCCACCACGAGTCCATTCCTGTGTTGTCGTGTCCTGTTGCCCCATTTGCGTTACAATACGTAGCGGCGCTATAGTAAATAGTTTTGGAGATCTCCAGGAGGCGCGGGTCTCGCGAAGTGGTCGACTTCTCGTCTGTAAGACTGTGTCGCGAACAAAAGAAACTTCAGCAACAACTTCGGTGAGCTGTACAGCGCTGGTCGCTGCGCTACTCCGTTGGCGCCAACAGCGAGCAGCACCAAGTCACGCGGCGGCTCATGGGGCGTGCAAGCCATGGTTCCTTCACCATGGGCGATGGCGCACTTGGGCAGTGGCTGCCAGGGCAAGCGGAGACAGCTCGTGAATACAAATTGGCAAAGCGCGGCCTGATAATAATGCTTGAGCATCGGACCCACCAAGCAATGATTAATCCAACGCTCCCACTGCCGCAACACCCAGGCTCCTTCCGCTCTCAGGCCGCCCCTGACGTGCCCGCCGCCATGAACCTCCGCCACCTCCGCCGCCTGCTAGCGTGGCGCTGCAGCTCAGCCCGTCCCAGCTTCTGGCTCCAGAGCAGCGCCGCAGCGTGCTCCGTCACGCCCCAGCCGCAGATGACACACCCACACCCGCACCCCAGCATTGCGCTTAGGCAGCCTGGGCGCCTCGCCGAGCTCTGGCGAGGAAGCGGCGGCCCCCGCTGCGCCGCCGGCCGCACGTGCTGCCTCTCCAGCTTCTCCACCAGGCCCAGCCAGGCCTGCAAGGCGCCCAACTGCGGCAAGGCCCCGAGCTTCAACTTTCCCGGCACCAGGGAGCGCGCGTTCTGCAAGACGCACGCGGCGCCAGGCATGGTGGACGTGAAGACAGCCCACTGCCAGGCGCCGGGCTGCACCAAGCAGCCCAACTTCAATGTGAGGGGCGAGGCAAGGGGCCTCTACTGCAAGCCGCACGCTTTGCCCGGCATGGTGAACGTCAAGAGCCTGCCCTGCCAGGGGCCCGGCTGCACCAAGCAGCCCTGCTTCAACTCCGAGGGCGAAAAGAAGGGCAGATTCTGCAAAGTGCACGCTTTGCCCGGCATGGTCAACGTGCTCAAACCCCGCTGCCAGGCGCCTAGCTGCACCAAGCGGCCCAGCTTCAATAACGAAGGCGAGTCCAGGGGCATCTGGTGCAAGGCCCACGCGGCGCCAGGCATGGTGGACGTCACGAGCAGGCGCTGCCACGCGCCCGGCTGCACCAAGCATCCTGTATTCAACTTCGAGGGCAAGAACAGGGGGATCTTCTGCAAGCGGCACGCCGCCGAGGGGATGGTGGACACAACGAGCAAGCGGTGCCGGGCGCCCGGCTGCACCAAGAGGCCCAGCTTGAATTTTGAAGGCATCCCCAAGGGCATCTTTTGCAAGTCCCACGCTGTCCTCGGCATGGTGGACGTGGTCAGCCCCCGCTGCCGCGCGGCCAGCTGCGCCAAGCAACCCAGCTTCAATTTCGTGGGCGCGGCGGCATTCCTTTACTGCAAGGCGCACGCCGAGCCTGGCATGGTGAACTTGAGGCGGCCGCAGTGGCGGCGGCCGGGGCCCCCGGCACAGCGCAGGGCGGCCCTACCTCCTGGTGACGTCATCAGCGCCAGCAGCGACACCGCGCATGGCGCCCAGACCGGCGGCGGCAGCGATGCTGCGGGCAGCAGCAGCACACGCAGTTGACACTGATGCAGGTCTGCTCTGACGGCGTCTTGGCTCCGATGGCAACGGGGTTGACTTGATTCCCCGCTGTGCAGGCCCATGCAGGCAGACAGTTGCTTGACACCGCCTTCGCGGCCGTCACAAGCCGTGACGGCGGCGCGGGCAGCATTGTATCCTGAAGGGGCGCATGTGTGGAGCTCACGCTTGGCAGTCGGTTGATGACATCAGCGTGTGGGGGCAACGCAGCCGCGGTTGCCCACAGGTCCATCAGCACCCGCCGCCGGTCCACACCCAGGCACCTTTCGCAAGCACGATGACGCGCTAGGTAAGGGGCCTGCTGCTTTTGTGTATCTTTCAGGAATTCCTTTGTTTCTACAGGGAATTGTGCACTATACAGAGCTTGCGCTGCTGTGTGGTATGTGGCATGTATTGTAGCTGACATTTGCGTGAAGTGCGTAGGTGCAGCGTCGCCGCCTGCCTGCAAAGTGCAGCGTTTGCAAGCAGCCAGGGCGGCAGTGACAGGCAGCGAGGGCGGGAGCCTTCACCATCAGCGGGCGCCATGATTGATGTCGCAGTCCCCGTCGTGGTCGCTGTGTCCATCACTCATGCACGCGGCCGACATTCCGCCCCCTGCCCTCCCGTTCCCTGCGGCTGTGTCATAGGTACATGCAGATGCAAGACAGAGGTGAGACACGACTCGAGTGAGAGCTCAGACCATGACGTGTGAGGCCTTCAGTACTGTTACTCGAGAGAATGCAGGTTTGCCCCAAAGCTGCATCCTCTCTTCAAGCCTGGGCCGTTTTTTTCCTTGTCTGATGCTGCTGACTGTGTGATCAGAGCACAATTTATGTTGCGCCTGATGATTGCATGTAAACAATCGGGCCTTTTGTCGCGATCAGCGCACCACAGATGGCGGCGCGCCACCGCTCGTCAATACGAGCACACCCCAGCATGCATCACACCACCTGCCCAAACTGTTGTGAAAACGCGGCGTACTCTGCCGCATACAGCCCGGCCGTCGGCTTTGTTGCTGCGAGCGCGGCCGCCATATCTGCAGCCGTCACGCGCCCCAGAAGCCGCGCGACATCCAACTCCGCCGCTGCCTGCGGAAGCGCCGCCGCTGCAGCCGCTGCCGCCACACCTCGCCCCACCCTGCCGCCTTTGCCGGCGCCGCTCGCTGTCCCGGCACCGACCTCTCCGCACGCCGCGGGCTCGAGGGCGTGCATCAGGCGCCTCAGCGGCCGCATGGCAGCTTCCTTGGCGAGCACCGCCACGTCGCTCCCAGAAAACCCCTCTGTCGCCGCTGCCGCTGCATCCAGGTCTGGGCCGCCCTCCCCTGCATCAGCAGCCGCCGCCAGGCCGCGCGCTTCCCACCCGTCGGCTCCGCTGCAGCTGCCGCCTGGGTTGCGGGAGCCCGCCGCCGCTCCGCCGCTGCAGGACGCGTCGGCGCCACCGCAGCGGCCGGCGAGGAGGGCGGTCAGCATGGCGCGCCGCGCCGCGCAAGACGGCAGTGGCACCAGGATCCGTTTTTCCAGGCGCCTCAGCAGGGCCTGTGCCAAACGATGCACGTATGCGTGATTGATTCATATGCATCTTAGGACGCGTGTTCTTTGATGTTGTGGTGGTGCGCCGCGCTGTGGGCCGGCCCCTTCGATGCAATACGCATCACTCCGTCCGCTGGCCCGCCGAGTGAACACCTGCCACAGAGAGTGCCTCGCCGGGCCGCCTGGCGCAACAGAAAGGCGCAAAACTGGTGCCAGGCGGCCCTCTCGCCTGCCCCTAACCTGAGCTCACCATGTCAAGCTCCCAAGGCATGTTGGTGGCAGCCTGGAGCAAAATGCCAGGCCATCGCGGGCAGAGGGCGTGTCAGTTGCAAATCGCGCGGTGGCTGCAGGTGTGTCGGTGCGCCACCACGCCGCCGGCCCAGGGTATCCTAGCAGCACAATCGCTGCCCTGCTGCCTTTCTGTTTTTACAGGCCCCTGCAAGCTTGCGCATCATCACACACCAGCACCCAACACCACGTGTTCAGCTCGCAGCAGGCTTTAATGGGGCCCCCCGAAACCCCAGCATTTACACCCAGACTGTAGCCTGACGCACCAGCACGAACACGAGCTCGTCCCTGCGCCGCGCTAGGCCGTCCAGCTGGATCAGCAGCTCGGTCTTCATGCGGCGGCTGGCCTCGTGCTCGCCTGCGGCATGGCACGCACGAGCAACGAGGTCGACGGGGGGCAGAGGGGGCGGCTTACATATGCGTGACCCCCCTGCTTGCTGGGGCAAAATGGGCATCGGGCCGCGCTTCAAGATGGGTATCTGCTGTAGGACAGTTGTGCGCCAAGGGTGAGGTGCCAGTGCTGCAGGCCGCAATGAAGGCTCCGCGGACGCCCTGCTCCACGGCATGCCCCGCCCGCGTCCAAGGGGTCTCCCCCCGCCTGCTGTAACCACTGTCCGCCCACCTTCCGCCCCCCTGGCCCCCATGAGCGCGTCCACCTCGTCCAGAAAGATGGTGCTGGGGGCGTGGTGGCGCGCCAGCTCAAAAAGCACCTGCGTGTATCACAGGGCAAAGTGCGCCGGCGGGATGGTAGCATGAGCAGTGTCAGTTAGCAAAGGGCTCTGGGCCGCTGAGTCTTATGCCGCGCCGCCGTCGTCACTGGAACACGTGAGAAGGGCGTGTCCCCGCCGCTTGACACGCCTGCCTCATCGGCTCGCACTCAGTGCGAGTTGATCGAGGCTCAAGAACAGGCTGGTTTTGGGCCGCTAGCCAGCGGCTGTTGAACCCCAAGGGCCTCCCTGTCTCACCCTGACGAGCTTCTCTGAGTCGCCGCGCCACTTGCTGATGATGGATGAGGAGCTGACGTTGAAGAATGTGGTCCTGGATGAGGGGTACAGATGTATTGTTGGGCTGCGTCACAGAAGGACCCGAGGAGCACTGCACCCGGCGACCTCAGTGCACGCCACGCCCCAGCGCATAAAAAAAGTGATCGCAACGCCACTGACGGTGTGGTTTGTTACCATAGGTTGCGAAGCAAGCCTGAGGCGTGGGCAAACTGCTTTGCCCCTCCTGCCGGCATGGCGATACACCCTGGAAGTCATGCACGCGCGCACGTACGCGTGCGCACGCACACACGCATGCACGCACGCACGCACCTACACACACACACACACACACACACACAACTGATAACATGCACGCACGCACGCTAGCACGCACGCACACACACACACACCCCTACCTGCACTGGGTCGCGACGGCCTTGGCCAGCAGGGTCTTGCCCGTGCCTGGTGGGCCGTACAGCAGTATGCCCTTCCAGGGGGCCAGCAGGCCCGTGAACAGCTCAGGGTACCTGCGGGCAGGGCGCCGGGTGTGCATAATGTATGAGTGCTGGCTGGTCTGAGAGCAGGGTCAACAGCATAAACGAAAGAGAGCTGGTCGCAGGACATGACCCCCCTGGCCGTCCTCCATTGCATTGGGAAACGGGCCAGCCACCAGCTGTTTCCCGCATGCACATTAGGCATGTCGCTCGCCACCCGACCCATCTGTCCACCGCTCCGCCACGCCCTCCCCAGCGCCCTCTCCTGCCAAACCCCCGCCGTGTGCCCAACCCCGCTTTCCGCAAGCACCAACACAGCCCGCGTCACCTCACGGGCATCACCACCGCCTCCTGCAGCAGCCGCTTGGCGTCACCCAGGCCGACGACGTCACCCCACTGCACGTTGGGTGACTCCACGTAGATGTCGCGCGACACCGCCTCGGCCAGGCCGCGGAACTCCCCCTGCAGCGCGGCCTGCATGCACAGGTGGTGTCCATGGGGAGTGTAAGGCCCCGAGTGAAAGGGTGTGCTGGCGTGGCCCGACTTTGGAGGTATGGAGGGGAGGGGATGAAAACGAAGCGACAGGAGGTTTAAGCTACGTAGCAAAGCCGACTGTGTGGTCGGCTCTTATTTTGTGGGTGTACGGCTTCGGTGGAATCGCCCTATTGTTGCTGTGATGAGCGGGCTACCCCACTCACCGGCAGCGGCCTTAGCAGCCGAGCAGTCACGTCCCCTACTCCCTCCCCGTCCTCCCCGCCTGAGGAGCAGCCGCCGCAGGGGCCGCCCCCAGGCTGCACCGCGCAGGAGCGCCCCTGGACTGCGAAGAGGGCTCTGCTTGCGTGATGCTCGCCTGTTGCAGCGTCAACAGCGGCTGTGGCTGTGGCTGTTGGCCCCAATTGGTCCGACCCGAATGCCATGGCAGCTGCCGCCCGCTGCACATTGCAGCCGCTGCCCCTGCTGCCGCCCCGTTGCAGCTGCCAACATTGCTGCTG